AACTTACCAATGTCCTTATGTTACTGTATAGCCCACATGGTTCCGTATATTAGATAAGTATTTCACATATACACAAATTTGTGTTTTATGGCTGTAAAATACTAACACCTTAGACACAAAAATAAGAAAAGTCTCCACTGTTGTGCTTTTACATCCTAGTGGTGAGAAAACAGGTCCCCAACATGAAGAAGTCCAATTTGCTCAAAGGCTGTTATGTTCAGTCATGACTAAACCCTTATTTGAAGTGAATTTTTATTAACCTTGCCTAAAAGTATTTGTCCTCTTCAGAACATGGACACAGGCTGATCAGACCAGTGTCTAGGGGTAGACAATAAGGTAAGGCAGACCTTTTGCAGAGAATGAGCTTCCTGGAAACCTGGAACGTGCAAGTGTTAGTATGGCCTTAGGGTCACTCTGTTTCTTCCACTGGAACATTGCAGACTCAGACACCTTTTCTCACCTCCCAAGCCCAGATAACAGTGGTTCCTGCCTTCTCCTTACCTTCTAGGCCAGGCAGAAGGAGGCCAAATCAAATCACACCATTGCTCGCTCCACCCTGGGGCAAGCATTCCTTTACCTTCTAGGCCAGGCAGGAGGAGGCTAAATCAAATCACACCATGGCTCGCTCCACCCTGGGCAAGCATTCCTTATTTAGTATGCTGTCACGAGGGCTGGGCATCGCTGCAGCTTAGGCACCAGTTCGCTGCCTTCACCATGTCACTGGAGAAAAACATCAGCTTTGTCTAAAATGAATGCGTTCACCTTGCCAAAGATTATGCTGTCTGCCTGTGGCTAATCTCTAAAGCACCTGGCCCAGATTCCTTCCCCTACCTGATGTTTTAGTCTGTGTCTGCATGCATAGGTCTCCATGCCTGGTTTTAGCTGCTCTGTTCCTTCCCACAGCCTGTGGGCGTATCCTGATGTTCAGGAGTACTTCTTGGGGATGTTTAAATTGAAAGTGATGGTGGGGAGCGACGGCAGGTCAAAAGCGAGAGAAACAGAGACAGAATTTTCGAGTATGTCATTCTATCTCAAGTTCTCCTGACTCAGCCCGGGACTAAGAACACAGGAAGTTGCTTCCAAGCCCACAACATCTCAATTAACTGCGTCTCTCTTCCGTGTTCTTGCAGGCACTGAACTCAACCAACGTTCCTAGGATGGATCACAGTAGGAAGTGGTACACAGTAGGAACAGCCACACACTATCAGAGGGGCAGAGGTCCCTGAATACCTCCAGTCACCACTTGTGACTCACCAGAGGGAGCAGGGCAAGAGAGAGCGGCCCTCAGCTCTCCCGATGCACCCTGTAGCAATGTCTTCCTCAGTGCCTCCATCTGCTCTACAAAAGCCCTTCAGGATCTGACCTCTTGCCCAGGCACCTCTGCCCAGCCTGTGAACTGGGCCAGGCTGGGACTCCCACAACCCGTTGCCTCCCTATCTCCAGCTCTGGCCTGAACTGCCATTTGTATCATTTGATTATCAGGGAGCTCCTGGATGATGCTCTCCTCTTCCCTGTAACTGACCCCAAATCCAAATGGGTGTATTTAGAATGCAAGTCCGACTCTCCAGTGTGGTATCAAACATCACAGGGAGCAAATGCAGCCAGGCACAGAGGAGACAGACCATGCTGAATACTTGAGTAAATATTTGATCAAATTTCAAACAGATTTTGGGGTTGGATAATGGTATTATGATTTGGTTTCTTTTAAAATCCTTTATCTTTGGGAGACAATATGCTGAAATATTTATATACAAATTATGGGACTAAGCATTGCTTGCAGCTAACCCAGTGATGGGCAGAGCTGAGTGCAGCTATAAATAAAACAGACTTTTTCAATGAATTCATAAATGTTGAAATAGATATTAGGGATACAGAGGTTCACTTAGCTATTCTTTCAACTTTTGCATATTTATTTCCATAATTGACCATAGTGAAGGCAGCCAATTGCCCCACACTTCAGACACAATGAAAGCCACCATCCTTCAATGGCCTCCGAGGCTAAATGCTAATTGTTCTCAGGTCCTCCTATTTAAATCCCATGCTAGACCCTTGATGGCTCTAGTCATGCCTTGCCTAGATATGCCAAGCAGCCGCTGCCCCAGGCCCTGCAGCTGCCAGCCTGAGCTGCCACCTCGCTGCCTCCCAGACTGATCCAGTCTATCATTCTCTTTGGGGCCTTTCTGCATCCCCTGCTTAAATGCTAACTAGTGTGTGTGCCTTCCTCTGCCTGCCAGAACATCAACAGCAAGCACCCTCAGGGAACCACCAGTGTGGCCAGTCAATGAAGAAGAAACATTTGTTGAAAGGATGAAGTTATCCTAGAAAGAGCAGGAGAAAGACTAGGGTACAATAAGAATGAGAAGACCAAAAAGGGAAGGAGGAGAAAGGGAAAAATGTTAAGAAGGGAATGGAAGAGGGCAAAGTCCCCAGTAAAGTTTCAAGACAACGGACAAGAAACAAGAAGCCATGGCTATGGCTCTTTGGGGTTATAAGGGATGCGTGCCCAAGCTAGAGACTTGCAAATGACACTGCTGGATAGAATCTATGCACAGAAGTCATGGTGGTCTCCTGTGCAGGACACTTCCTTTGTCCCATGACCATCTTCAGCATCCTTTTAACTACAAAGCTGCCCCAAACAGCACCTGCTCCCACATCACTCCCTGAAGACTCAGAATCCTTGTCTAAACCGAGCTTCCCCTCTCCTCTGAATATCTCAGAGTCTTTATCTATCTCCCTGGAGACCTGGCAAAGCTTAGCCTTAGGTGACTTTGAGCATCAGTCTGTAGAGCCCTATGTCTTTTTGGCAAATCCCGTGGCAGATAGCAAAACATCTGTGCATCATATGAGCTCAAAATAAGGTTTGTGGACATATGGTGCACGGGAAGATTGAGCAAAAGTAAGACAAGCTTTGCAGAAGGGGATATAGTCCTGGGTAGGAATCCCTGAGTGGCCACTGAGTAACTGTCTTCTTTAAGAACCTGGCCTTAATTCACAAACATTGCCAGATCCAGTACACAGTTGGAGCTTGCTACATTCACATCTACATCCCACTCCACACACAGCTCTACCCTACCCTCTCCATCTTTTCTGTTCCCCTTGAGTCTCCCCATTCCGTTCCCCAAGTCTCAAAAATTGATATAGCTGCTCAGTTCTCAAGTCCCTCAAGTTGTGTTCAGTATGAAGGAAGCCAAGCCTGCATTTCATCGGCGATTGACATGACTCACAAGGCAGAGAGCTTCGCGGCATGAGAACAGCTGATTTTGGAAGCACACATGGTAGGTCCAGGCAATCCCTGACAATAAAGGGTGGGCCTGATGGGCAAGCCCCTAAAAGATACCTCTTTTCTCCTTTCGGTGAATAAAAAAGTAAGTAAATAAAAAACTACTCATTGTCATCCTTACGGAGAGAGTTCCGTGGGCCATCTAATATTCTATTGGGAAAGGTGGCACTTGGAGAAGCTCAATGCCAGTGAAGCAAGGTGCTCATAAACACTAATGACAGCATGTGTGACAATGCTGCTGTCTCATAAGACTACACATAAACATGTTCAGAGGGTAAAATCCCAGCAGTGGGACAATTTGCTGCTTCCCATTCTGAGTGTTCTTCTCACAGCAACTCAGACATTATGAGGCCTCACCACTATAGCCAGAAAGCCACAGGTTTGCAAAGACCAGGTGAGGTCAAACCCACACATGTTTTCAAAGCCTAGGATCCTCTACTACATGGGAGAGAACGCAACACTATAGCAACTTCATTTGACTGATGGGAAACTGAGATGGGCCACGCTGAGTATGTGAATGTGAAGTCACTCTCTCGCTTCCCACCCACCGAGCCTTGGAGACACCTTTCCACATCTCCCCTGACCTTCACAATGAGCTTCTCTCAGACTCCTGGAGGTTCATGACGGTTAAATTCAGCAGAATTGCTTGAGGGTTCACGTGTGGGCAAGGACAGATAGAACTGATGGGCGACAAGAGTCACGCATGATTTCACAGTGGAAGATGTGGGGTTTGTGGGCCTCACTCCCTGAGTCAATCCACGGCATGTATGCAACACCATCCTCCAAAGGAGCTGTGCAATATTCAGGCCAAATGGGGCATCCAGTAGGTTAGGGGATGCCTTCATCAGACACCAGGACCTCTACCCGCCCATGGGGCAGTGGCTCCATGGCCTCTGGATAAGAAAATGCTGAGTAGAGGAGTTGGCTGTGCCAAGAGCTGCCTGTCTCTCTACTGGATCTAATCACCGTGTGGAGAGCACCGTGAGGGACCAGAAAAGCGAGCACAAGCTTCAGGGCTGGATTCCAGTGGTGGTGGGTAGGGATGGGAACCAGCATCACAGAGCTGAGCCTGAGTCCTGGTCCAGTTAGCCATGAGCCATACTGCACAGTATCCAACTTTTATATGCTGCAGCAGCCCTCCTACCAAAGCCCGTGACACTATGCCCGGTATGCAAAATTTTACAGAAGAAGGCAGTTACTAAATTAAATTAAAGATAATTATATCAAATTGACTACCATGAGTTACAATATTCAATAATAATTCAGATATTCAAATTAAAGTTGTAACATGTTAGCGGATTACTATTTTTGTCTATTTTCTCTCAGGTTTTTCTCAAAATTGAACTGCCTCATCAACTCCTGTGAGAAACTTCGGCCACTGCCAACCTGGGTCAGCGGCTTCCTCTGAGTACTGCCCCCTATTTGGCTTCTTTCTGGTGGGAATTCTGATCTCACAGGGCTAGTATGTCCCCATGTAGCAGACCCACAGCCAGTCACAGGCTACTTGCCATGTCTCCAAGGCCCAGAACAAGACAGAGAACAAAGTGGATTCTAAACCAGATGATTGAGTCGAGCCCAGTCTTTCAGCTGTCAATATTCACTGCAAGCTCCTGGGGCAGAGGTTGGACCTGACCTCTGTTGGATGTCAGACAATGGAGGCCATGCAGATAAAGCCAACGTGGGTGAGCAGGACATCAGAAAGTGAACATAGTTTACTTACTCGGAGACCTTGAGGTCCAGGGGGTCCCTCTCTGCCTTCTGGACCAATCGAACCCTTCAAGAGAAGAAAAAGAAAAAGGAGAGAGAAGGTTAAGTGTGGGGTTCCATGGCGTGGTATCTGCTCTGCCTCTCACTCTCACTGGACAGGAACTTGTCACGACATCCAAACAGGTAATTATAGGTTCAGAGGGGAAGCAGCAATTTATGATCTTAAATGTATCTAAAACATACAGATGGATATGGGCTTATAAGCAAGAAGACACAGGCAATGTCACACACACTATATATAGAAGAACACAGCAGGAACCACATGGTGAACTCAGCAGTCTGCATGGAACACAGAGAAGAAGCATCTGAAACCCAAATGTCTAACTCCTAAGTCTGTGTCCCTTCTTTTCATCTTGTTTCCTCAGCAGGAACCAGCCTGGGTTCTCTGATTCTTGGGAAACAATAAGAAAAGTATGAAAGTTAGGACAGATCATCTGGAGAGATGGCTCCACTGTTAAGAGCACTTGATGCTCTTCCAAAGACCCTAGGTCCAGTTTCCATAACCCACATGGGGGCTCGCAATCATCTATAGCACAAGTTCAAATGGATCTGACTCCTTCTGATTGCCACAGGCACCAGGCATACATGTGATGCACTTATATAGCAGGCTAAACACTCATACACATAAAGTAAAAATAAATAGATAGATAGATAGATAGATAGATAGATAGATAGATAGATGATAGATAGATAGATAGATAGATAGATAGATGATACATACATAGATAGATAGATAGATAGATAGATAGATAGATAGATAGATAGATAGA